TGACTGGTCATACTTTGTGTAAATCTGAAAAGCTATTTTTTTTTCTTTCCTCAGTCACATCGCTGACGTGTAAAGTGAAACAAAAACAATTTTTCATAATTACACAGAGTATGATCGACATACTCTGTGTAAGTCACTAAAAGTACACAACTTGTGTCCTTTTCAACGACACACAGTAAACCATTTATTTTTAGTATGTTTCTAAAATGCTTTATAAAAATTTTTCAAGGGGTGGCCCGTTGTGCCCAAAAAAATATACTATTGGGGTTGAGAGATTTTTTATTTGATTTTTAGGTGAAATAGTTTGTCCCAATGGCAAAAACCTTTGCCCTCCAAGTCACCAAGGAGATTAATCTTATCTAAATAAAAATATATATTTACTAAAAAATAACTAATTACGTCTTTTTAATAATTAAAAACAACCAACTATCTAAATTAGACGCAAATTATTAGCACCCTTGATGTCTATATGTGATAAGAATTCATCATTTCATGTCTTATTTTAACATAGCAATGTAAATGTTTAGGTCATCCATTCATAAATTTTCAGTTAAAATTTTAATGATAAAGTTTATAAAACAAGAAAGTATACATTTTCACTTTAATGATTGATGGTTGATTTATGAATGGATAGTTGAAATATTTCATGTGATAATATTATGTTAAAATAAGACATGAGATGGTCAATTCTCAACATTTTACAAAGCTCATTTGGTCTGATTTAGCATTTTCCTTTTATTATAATAATGCCAAGTTGTTTGTGTTAGACAGCTAGGTTTGTATTCCTTGAAGGGTGAAGCATGTCTTTATGGAGTTGTTCTTGGAGACAATGATATGAAACAAGGGGATGTTTGTTACATAGTATAGAATAAGGTCTATAGTATAAGATATGATAGTATAAGGTTTGATTGTATAAGACCTGATTGAATTTTAATACTATCCCGCATTTGGCACGGTATTGTATAAAATAATATATTGTATAAGATAATATCATCTAGTATTTGATAATACACAGTATAATACTATATATGATAAAAAGAAATATTTTTAATAAAAATATTCTTTAATAAAGAATTTATATAATTCTTCAAAAAATGTCATATGATATTAATTTTTATAAAAATTTATTGATCAGTGTGTCCAAAATATAAATTTTTTATAAAAATAAAAATATTCAATTTTTTTAAATTAATATATTGAAAAATTAATTTTTATATTAATAAATTAATATTAAAATAATATATTAATTTTTGAGAATTACATTGGTTAACGATGTTAATACATCAATCTCTTATCAGGCTTTATCCCTCATTCTTAGGCCAGATTAAGTTATACATCATTTTGATGTATTAAGGGATTATGCTGTATAAGCTTATACTATACGATAGTCACATCAAACAACTGAAAATGTCATAACGTATAGTATAAGCTTATACTATCATGCCTTGTACGTCACAACAAACAGGCCCCAAAGCTCTAGGAGAAGTTGTTATGTGACTAAGAGGTGACTAAGAAAGGAAGATTGTGTCGAGGGCACAATAACTTTATATTTTGGCAGAGTAACAACTCATAAATGTAATGAATGTAAGGTGCCTCTTCAATGTACGAAGATTAGTATTGCAGGTGAAAAATATTTCTTAATGATAAAGAGATAATATGAGTTGTATCTGTTTGCCCATTACCTCGTTATCGTGAGGTGAAGCAGCACACCACTCGTGTATATTGGTAAGCTGTATTAGGGTACGAGAGATCTTGTTCCATGAGGTTTAAGATTCTCATAAAGGAAGACAATAGAGTGACCTCTTAAATAAGTCTATAAGATGGCGTTTGGTGGAGGAGAAATTTGTTTTGTTGGTGGAAAAATGAATTTTTCAACAATGTTACCAAAAAGATATTTGGTAGCCAAAATATTACCAGGAATGTTAACTCAAGTTTCTTAATTCTATATTTGGTTGATGGTCAAATATTGTTGGAAATGTGGGTTGTTTTACAAAACTAACCTCCTGGCACAAGTTCACCGAAAAAGTAAATACATAAGTCCATCGAACAACCACACTGACAAATCAGAGTAGAGAGCAAAAAAAATTCAAAGAGCTATGAAAGAACATATAAGGCCATCGCAACTAACTACCCTGATTCAAAACGATGGCATAACAACCGCACCAAAATAAGACATCAACGCTGCTACCAATGAGAGTAGAACGAGTTCAGCTCCCTGACCGCTGAGGACAAAAGGCACCGATGGCGGATAACTCATCGCATCAAATAGTCACAAAGAGAAAGGATTCAACTACGCTGAAAATCTGATTTGGAAATGAAACTCTATGGAAGCAAAACAGACTTGAGATCGAGAAAATGGAGAAAAATGGAAGAAGATTCGGAAAATTTAACAAGGGTATTTTAGACATGAAAAATTTAAAAAAAAAAATTCACCGAATGAAAATCCAAGAATACAACCGTGATATTTTTGTTGGGATTTTACTTAACAATTTTAAATCCCGTGGATATGGTTTTTTCAGAAATTTTTTCACAATCCTTATATCAAATGTGAGTAAATAGAATTTCTAATGTCAATTTTAGAGAAATTTAAAATTTATTCCCCTAGCAAATGTTCCCCTAAGGGTGAGCCCATGATTTCGTACGGCGAGTCTGGAGCAAATACATTGATTGATATTAATTGTCTATTAGTCTATAACAATAATAATAATAAGAAATATTTGTAAATTATTATGTATATCTTCAAATGTTTTAATAAATAATAAATTATTTTCAGTAATTTTATATTTATTTTAAATTCTTTAAAAAGTAATTTAATAATAACATTTTGTATTTAATACACAGTATAAATAATCAAGATGAAAATGAAACAACTCAGATATGACCAAATCAAAGGAATTTTGTGCACCAAAAGAAATCGTAAGTATCCTAATGTAGATTAACACGCGTACTTAAAGAGAAATAACAAATAATGTCACGCTCGTCAAATTGTTCCACACCTGGACAATTACTTTCGTGATTGCGAATCTATCATCCACCACACGAATCCTAAATGGAAGCGTCTTAATATTCACTGATTTACTTATTAATGTAGAAATGAAAGGAGAGAAATGAAAAATATAAACGGGGCAACGGGCGTGTGTCCATTTTTAAACTGAATTAGTCGAATAATTAATAATAGGAGATTATTTTTTTCATATAATAAGAGAGAAATTCTCTTATGTTCATTTCCCTAAATAAAATGGTGAAAAAATAAATGTATGGAGTGTGTGTCCTGAGACTCCTGACGTTATATAAGTCCGTCAAACCATTAATTCAAGTTTTTAAATTGCTTTAACAGCAAATTGTTAGCGCACACATAAGTTTTATCCACATCAAAAAATAATAATAATCATATTTTAAAATGGAAAATCCAATCTACAAATATTTAATAAGAAATTGAAAATAAATTATTATGAAAAATATATATATCTTTTTAAAAGACAGTCTTTTTAATTAAAAGTAATAATTTATGTTTTTTTCTCACAATTTTATATCCTTTAAAAAGATAAATATTAATTCCAATTATTATTCTGATTTGAAGCAAAATAAAGAGGTGCATTTGAAGATACTATTGGGGTGTTTGGTAGGAGGTAAAAAAAAATTTCATATGAAAAATGAGGTGGAAAAAATTATTTGTCTATGATTAGTAGAAGATAAAGTAAAAATATTCAGAGAATTTTTTTTTTCCCATCATTTACTTTTCTATGTAAAATGATTGAAAAGATTATCATTGAAGAGTTAAAATTGTTTTTTTTTATATGGTGAAAAATTAACACACAACATCAGTAGAATTAACTCAATAATTTTAAAAAAAAATTGACCTACCAAACAACTTTTAATAACTTAGCCAGAAAAAAAAAAATTCTCATCATGTTCTAAAAATTAATTTTTCCCATTAAAACAAATTTTTCATCTACCAAACACTTCAATTTTTCGTAACAGTTTTCATATTAACTCCAAGGTCACGATTGGCATAGCATTAAAGTTCGAGAACGAAAAAAATCATAGGAAAGATTTTTGTGGAGTAAGTATTAATATATTGAAATTTATTTTCATTTTCTTTGGTATACCCGCTGAGCTTCCACCACCCCCTACAAGAAACCTACGCTTCTTCGCCATCATCTCCGGCAAGAACATCTGTCAGGTCATCCTTTACCACGCTCTATCTTCTTGTGATTCGCTTTGATTTCGTTCAAGCTTGTGAGCGTTCACGCTTGCTGGTGCACCGTGCGCTCATGGCTGAGTCGGGAGTCTGAGAGGTTGTGAGTTGGAGGTTCTCAACGAACTCGGTGCAGCCTCGGTAATGGTCGAGGAGGAATGACTTGTCATCTGAGATTATCTTCCACATAAAAATATGAAATTAATATGTCTGCTAGCATATATTTAGTCTGTAGATGAGGATTGGTAAATTTATTTTTAATAATTTTAATTTTATAAAATTAATTTTAGTTAAATATGAAGAAAAAAAAATATGAAGTGAAATAATTTCGCAATAAAATTTAGGGTAAAAACATAATTTAAACAAATTTTTCTACTATGTGGATCCTATACATGTGATAAAAACAAAATGTAAAAAATGATGGTACGAAACCAATGAGTCAATAGGTAAAAAATCTTATATCATGTTATTTTGATATTCTTTTTCCTCTAAAATTTAATGCAAAATATTACTTATTATTTTTACAAAATAGCGTTACATTTTGACCATTGAAGGAGTGCAATGCGTAATAAGGAAAGAGAATAATAAGTAAAAATAAATAAATATAAAAATGAAGGTGCCACCGCCACATGTCAGTAGGTGGGGTCCAAGGTCTTGAAGAGAGAGAGAGAGAGCGCAAAAAAGAGTGATATCCCACAGGGCCACACCCTAGCATGACCCAACCCTTGCTTTTATTTTAACTAAGAACGCCGAAGGAACAACAACAAACACGAATAACTCGAATCTACTCCATCTTCATTCTTCTTCAGTCTTCACCGCCACACAATATCCCCACCTCTCTCTCTCTCTCTCCTTCTTTATTATTATTATTATTATTATTATTATTTATTATTATTAATATTATATATAAACCTATCCTAACCTTTCTCTTCATCTGTTTCCAACTCCTCAGCCACCTCCTCCTCTTTTCTCTTCTCTCTCTTTCTCTCTCTCTCTTTCTTTCTCATACATACGACACGAACACTCGCACTCACAACAGACTTTCTCTTACATGACTGTTGTCAGCGAACGCCAAGGGACGAGATGATGATGGTCAACGACGAGTGGGTGAGGGCGGCGATGACGGACGACATGGTCGTCGTCGAGCTTCTGTTACGGCTGAAGCAGTCCGTTTCAACCAAATCTCAGGCCTTGCCGTTCACCTGGGGGCTCAAGCAGCCACGCTCGAGATCAAGGCTAACTGCTTCCGTCTCTCGTTGCGACGGCGCCGTTTCGACCAGATGCAGCCCAACCACGCCTCTCTCTTGGAGTGGAGGCGCCTCTCCATCCGCCACCGCCGATGGTTGCGAAGACTCCAGCCGGCACAACCACGCCGCCAGATCCAAGGTTCTGTTTCTTTCTCTCTTAACGCTATCTGTATGAATTTTTCTGCGTCTCTCTCTTCCCTTCCCCTGATCTCTGTTGTGTGTGTCGGACTATTTTGTTTGACCGAAATACCCCTATAAACTGCCTTTGGAGCACCGTGGCTCCCCGGCGGTTGAGATGGCTGGCTTCGTGTGCGTCATGAGACATTCTTGCCTTCGGAATGACGTTTCCTTTCGTTTTGACCATTTTGCCCTTCACCTCTTTTATCAGAAGCCAAAGGCCTGTAGTGTTTTTAGTTTCCCAATCGCGCATCGTTTTCGAGTTTCCGCTGACATCAGATGCTGACGGGCAAATCTGTCAATTTCGCCACTTTATTTATCTTTTTCATTTTTAAAAAATAAAAATAAATGATCCTTCGCTTACTGGCTAATTACTTTTAGTTCTAGTGATTAAGGATGGAGGCGGTTTGATTTGTTTCCTTTCTTTCTTTCTTTTCTTTTTTTTGTTATTGTGACGGGAACTGCGGTTACCCGTCTATCATTCTATATTTGCCGGTTGATCGACGAAAAGACCATTTTAAGGTCCAACTAAGATTCCGCTGACACAGATTTATATTGACGAGGTGAAAAAAAAAGGAAATGTGTAATTGGCCACTTCCACCAATTTCCCCAGCAGCGATAGCGAAGTTGAGAATCACGGTTTTTTTATTTATTTATTATTTATTGAAGAAAGTCGTAAAATATGGCAGGACGGATCGTGGGTTTTTCGGTCTTTGTAAATCATGGGTTTGTGGGTCCCTACGATTTAGAGGGGGATGGGTACGGTGAAGAAAGGAGAGAGACTTGAAGGTTTGCTTCGTGATATGCTGATGACGGATATGCGATTCGTTGAAGTTAGTGTCCTTAGTGGCTGGTTCTACCGTTCTAGTTTAGGGTGTCCTAGGGGGTTTGGGTTGGGACTATTGTTTTTTTCTCTCAATTCTTAATTCTAATCTCACGGTTAGATTGTGTTATTATTATTATTAGTGATTCGCTACCTAATACTCTTAAGTACGTTTAGGTAGTGTTTGGTTCGGGAGAAATTTTTTTTGGCTAGGGAAACGTAATTGATAGAAAATGGTTGGGAAGTGAGTAAGAAGAAAAAGGAAAAACTAGTCTCATGCAACATAAGAATAGTTTTATCTCCTACACATCCATCGAAAAGCGTGACACTTTTTTTTTTCTTTCTTTAAATGGCGGGCTTCCATCACATGGGTGTGTACAACGTAAGAGAAGATCTCTCATGCAACATAAGATTAAATGAACTCAATAAAAAATAGATTAAATAAAATATTTGTTTTATAAACATTTTTTATTTAAGTAATTATATAAATATTTATTAAATAAAGCACTTTTTAATAAAATAAAATATATGTTATAATTGAAATCAGGAATTCTGTTTTTGGCCGTGGCAATAGAGGCGTTGGGGGGGGGGGGGGGGGGGAAGAGTGGTGTCTCGAGTTGGAGGCGTGATAGAAACACATAACACCCCGCCACACCACCATTATGAGTTGGATGGGGTATCAGTATCACGGGGATGACAGTGAAGGCATGGCGGTAGTTAAAAATGGTGCCTTAAATAGGAAGTTGAAATCCTAAACATTAGGATTTTGTTGGGTGTGGAACAAGAAGAGAAAGCCACCACGCAGCATCTGCGGCCCTTGGCCCACTCGACTTGGGGGCGTGCAGCTTGGTGTACTCTATGCCTTCTTTTGTTTTTTCAAGCTTGCCCCAAAAAAACAAAAAAAAACGAAGGACATATTTAATTTAAATTTAATAATAAAATTTGAAATGGATAGGCTAGCTCATGTGATCCAGGTCACGTGAGCGTTCCAAAGAAGATCATCACGTGCTTACAATGACGTAGCTTGATGTGTGAGTTGTAGTACGCCAGCTGAGCTGTCCTCCTCTGATTAGTTTTGTGCGATCATAATATTAATTAGTTTTGCCCAGGTGTATCCATACTCAATAGTTAGTTTTCTTTTCCTTTGTATTTCAAAATATATATATATATATATATATATATATATATATATTAATACTCGAGTTGCTTTTCTATAATTCCATTTCCTTTTGTATTAACCGGAAAGAATCAATTAGGCTTAGCTACGTGGGCCTGAGGGTGGGTGGGTGAGGGTATGGCCCCTTCATTGTCATTGACCTCAGACGTGTCCCAATGCCTGAGGTGGATCGAGTGCTCCGTTTTAATAATTTACTAATTATTAATATTTGATTTTATAAGTTGCAAGCGTCAAGCATTCAAGCAACCTCTCTGTAAGCTAATTTTTAATGTTACAATTCTTCTGAATTGCTTAATCGTCACCCATGTATGAATGAGTTACCCACAAATTTTAGTTTTTTATTTTTTGTATTCTTTTAAATCAACTCTGATCCCATTTCTCCCGTTATATAAACCTATTATGATTTTTTTGCATCTTATTTCTCACTATTTTGCTAACTTTCAATGACTGGAAATTTTTTTCAGGGTACTGCTACAAGTGGATACACTGGCAACTCTGCCTCTACCAAGAGATGCAGAAAAAAGAAGGTAAACGCACTTTGTTTCTTTCTTCCTTTTTTTAGTACTAGCCACCTCCTTTCTTTTAATTTTAAAAACTTCTAAGATCCTAACTATTCATCTTAGTGAATGATCTCTTGGTTGAGAAGCCGTTGGCAATGACCTCTATTTGACTATTGATATGTTATATATGAGTGTTAATCATGATTCTTTTTGCCATCTCTAGACCTTTGCTGAATTAAAGGAAGAGGAGAACTCCCTGCTAAAGGAAAGGATATATTTAAAAAAGGTATCTTTCTGGTCTTTTGCATATATTTTGAAGGCCTGTTATTTTTAGGCATATATCAAGATGGGAATGTATGGTTATTAATCTCACTCTTATTTTGCAGGAGATAGCTAATATAAATGCAAATTTTGAGGCACAGAGAGCTAAAAATGAGAGTTTGAAGAGGATGAAGGTAAATTCAAATGTTCTTTCACTTTTTATTTATATATATACAATGAACCATATTTTTTGGAATAATTTTCTGAGATGTCTATTTTATTTCCTGCTTACCTCAATTTTTTTATTCTCAGCTTGATTGCGGATCAAAGTCTCATAATAATCCAAGCTCAACGTCTGTTGAGCAGCAGTGTGCTCTTGCTGGTCAACCCCACCAGAGAATAGGACCACCTTTGGATGCCCTCACACGTGCCACTCAAGGTGATACTCATTCAGAAGCATCAGAATCTAGGCCAAATGGGATCGAGTCAACCGGGGAAAGTTTTTTCTTGATACCAGATCTAAATATGATACCGTCTGATGATGGTTCTTACACTGACGCTCTGTGTGGAATGAGTTAAGACCCACTTGTTTTCACCGTCCAGAACGCAGGACTCTTGGTTGTGGAACAATGTACAGGCTGAGAGAGCATTTTGAAGGCTCTGTCCAATATAAACCATTGGACAATGTCATACATGAAAAACGTTTCTTGATGCAACTACCAATTCTTATGAAGGGTAAGAGCTGGTAGTCACAAATGGGAAAAGTTTCTTAGCCATTAGGCTGTCGAGTAGTAGTAATGTACTGATGTCGCTGGTTCCTCCGATTCTAAAATTGCTAAAGGGGGTAAAGCCTCGGTATTTTCGATTTCGGAATTCTTTAATCATGTAAGATGTACAATTCTTTTGTAGGTTAAAGCTCTTGGATTCCTTTAGATGGTACTTAAATTAATCTACAGTTTTATTCATGCATTCCATAGGTTGCGCCTTCACTTCATTTATCCATAAGTTAATGCGCTACCCCTTCGATATATAGGATGTTTTTTGGTTTGAGAATGTCTTATCTGAAATTCATGCCTCTACGGGAAGCAGGGGGAACATAAAGAAGGTGTCAGTACACCGTATATGGTTCTTTGTAGGATTTCTCGCCAGTGCCATGGTGGATGTGGTTTGCCAGATTCACCGTTCTTGGTGGTGTATACAAGTATACAACATTCTCGCACCAAGATCCTTATACTAGATGGACACACATTCGCTGGAGAGCTGAACCATTTACTTTGTTGGTAGTATTATTCTATATGATAAATGACTCACCCTCCGTGTCAAAACAATTATAAAATTCCATTACAGTGAGATAGGGCATATAACCGGATGAACATGGTATTAGTGGTCACCCTCAGTACGAGGGACTGCCGACTCTGTTTAGGAAGGGGATTTGGTCTTCTACATATTCATCTTTCATTTTCTACAGAATCATCTGTAAACTTTAAAGAGAATCCTGGGTTAAGAGTCGAAACTAGTTCTCCATGTCGGTTAAAAAGAGAGTCTGCTGAGCCTTCTTCACCTGAATCATTAGATTTATTTATTTTTCATTTTCTTTTGCCGTTTTCAACAAATTTTTCATTGGTTGTTGGCTGGCAAATTTTCTTTTAAGTAGTCTGATTTTCGTTTGTTCTTTGTACTGTTTATGGGTCCCTCTACAAACTAACAAAATTTGCGGCCAAGCAAGCGAAGATCTAGTACTTTTCTTTGTACATTGTAAGGGATTTCCCGGAAAGAGGAATTTACAAAGAGCCAAAGTAACGGTAGCCTGCATCTAATCTTGGTCACTTTTAGTACAGAATCGAAAGCACCGCGTATATAGCATGTTCATGCTAAATGGACAAAAACTAATGAAGTATAAATTCAACAAAGCAGAACTGGAATGAAATGTTCTAAATTGGAGTGCATCTGTAACTATCAAAATTTGAAACATTACGCCATCATTGGTATTATTATATTTACTTCTCCACAAACATCTCAAAAAGGAAAACTTTTGTAGATTGCTTTAGCTTCTTCCCTTCCGAAAGCTCAATATACTGGACCAACACAATTGGATTTACTGTACATACAGTGATAGCGACAGTGTCAACTGCAAGCTGGTCCTAGTCATTCTTATTTTCTGGCATCAAATATGCCACCAAGGTATGCAAAGGAAGTCATTATTGTAGACCATCAGTAAACTGCTTCTGGACTGAACTCCAGTGCAATTTCCTTTCCAGTTACATGTTGAAATGGAGAAGCGTGATTCTTCAAAATATCTGATAACTTCAGATGGTACCAGCATTGGATACAGCACCGAATACTCCTCCAACACCATTGGACAATGTTAGCCTACATTCTATTATTATTATTATTATTATTATTATTATTTTGAACTTTGTAATAAATCAGGTCAGATATCATTAAAATTTGATAAATGCTTATCTTTTATAATGTTTGAATGGCTACTGTTTAAAAATAAGAAGTATTTTTTCCACTTTCTCCCATAACAATAAAATGACCCGAGTATTGTTTTTTTTATTATTATTATTTAAGATGTATCATGGTGGTTTTTCATGTTTGTTTGATATTTTATAAGATGATATATCTGATTTCTAATATGACATGTTGTGTCCAACCTTACCCTTATTGCATTTGATACTTGTGCCTGTGGATCACAGGAGCCAAACCATCGGAGTGGCATTAGTAGACTTCCAAATTCCAACGTGGAAGAGCCCGTTTGTTAGGGCTTATAGAAAAAATAATTTTTATTTCTTTTTTATTTTAAAAGTAATTTTTATAAAAGTTAAAGTTATTTATATTTTTATAAAAAAGTTTAGTTTTTGAAGAAAAAAAATTTGGCTTTTGACTTTGCTTTTTTTAGAAGCTAAAATTTTTAGTTTTTTAAAAAAGTAGATTTTTGACTCTTTTTTTTTTGTGATTTTTGTTTTTTTTAAAAGCGGACATCCAAACGAGCTTAAAGTGAGAAGTACTTTTTTTTTTCTTCCAAAAAAAACAGTTTTTAAAAAGAAAAAAGCTCATCCAAACGAGCCTAAACAGAGAGGGAGAACTTGACACTAAAAACACACATATTGGGTTGGGTGAAGAACTTGACTATTTACCTTAATTGTATTTTCTTTAAAAAATGACAGGATAGAGTAGTGAAAGAAGTAAACATCTAAGTATCTAACAAGTTGAACATAGCTCAAGTGGTCCCCTGCTCTCCATTTTCCATTCCCTCTTTAGCATATAAGGATATCTCAAAAAAAAAACAAAAAATTAATTGGTTTTTTAATGTACAATAAAAAATATTTCAGAGATTAATTTAGTTTTTAATATTTAAAATAGAATTTTTTTAGTTTCTTAATGTATTTTTTCACATTAATTTAATTAGTAAATTAATGCTTATTTCACATTGTAAAAAAATAATTCAATATTACAAATATCTTTTAAGGATTGATTTAATTTTTTTATTATAAAATTAATCTAAGTATTTACTCCACCTAAAGTTAGAAGTAAAAGATGCAGCCGATTTATTTAAAGAGAATCCATGGTTGAGACTTTAGACTGTTGCTATGTTGGCTGGCAATTTCCACTTTAAGTAAAGTCGAATTTTCATTCTTCTCTTACATGGGTTCCTGTACAAACCTACAAAAGCTTGTTGCCAAACAAAAGATGATCAATTACTTTACCTGTAAGAAATTTCCACGAAAGTGAAGTTCAGACCAGTCCTTTATCACGAGAGGAGAGGACTCACTCCACAAGATATATGGAATAAAAGGAAAATGGCCACAACTGTGGCAGCTTGCATATATAATGAATGAAATATTATACACTTTTCAGCTTGAAAGAGATTGCTTGGTCAAAAAGCCTATAAACTAGACTTAAATAATAAATTTGACTGAATTTATATGTAAATATTGGCTTGTTAAGTCAAATTACATAAAGCTTTACCTGATTTGATTTTATGCTTTTTTTTAATTACTAGTTTCTATATAAACATGCAATTGAAGGAAATTTATATTTATTTTAATAAAATTGGGATTTCTTAACAAGATTGAAGAGAATGCACTATTCTTAAATTTAATTGAAAGAAATGTGATATTCCTTGAGAATATTGAATAAGGAGACCTGGGATGATGCCTTAGGGTTTACTCATGCAAAAAGTGAGAAACAATAGCTATTGAAGAGGTACAAAGGAGAGTCAGTCGTTGAAAACACTTTGAAAATGAAAAGAAAAAAACAAGAAGGAAGATAAGTGTTTTTGTTGCGAAATTAAAGAAGTACTAGTTTTTTTTTCATGAATTTGTCTTGAGTGTGGGGAGTGGTTTCCATTTGTTTTGTGAGATTAAAGCATCATCGAAAATGTTTTGAGGCCCTTGGTGGTGAAAGAACCAACATTTGTCAAGCCATTTTCGTGCACTTTGGTTGGGCAGAATCGAAGAGTGGCTCAAGAACATCAAAGTCCCTTCTTTTTTTTTTATTTTGAAGTCTTGGGTATATGTCTCAATCTCAACCTTTTCTCTTGAGTTTCTATGTAAAAGATTGAGTCTTGGGTCATGTTAAATGAGAAAAATAAGTAACCAAGATGACCACTAGCATAAACGTGCTTAAAAATGGTAGCTTGAATCTCTGTAAATGTTAAAAATAGAACCTGTTTGGATTAAATCATGAAAAATGATGACTTGGACACAAAAAAGATATTCTGCGATGAATATCCGGATATGAACAGTAACATATCCTGATATATTGATAGCAGCGATATGTTTTAGTAAAAATTTGATACCTCAAGGTACAGAGCTCCCAATTGAGTGAGGTTTAGACCTATATGAAGCTAACACATAAGGATACATCCCTGTAAAAATTCGTAGTCATTAGATAAGTGGTTTGATCACAGTTTGAGTTTAAAGTCGCGACTTGGTTGCTGGAAATTTAGTTTTCAGCAGACACTTGCGAAAGACATAATCGGAGTTATACAACTACAATTGAGACATTTAATATGTCGTTAGAAAAGTCTAGTTTAATATATTAGAATCTTAGATTTTTTGGTAAATTTTTAAAATGATAAACAATGTTTGGTATCGTATTCACAATTAGAGCAGTTTCTTTGGAATGAATTTCAAGAAAACGAATTGTAAACTCTATTGTGCTAGTGAGTGAGGTTCTAAAAGGTATGGCGCTCTAGGGAGTTAGTCTAATTCCTCCCACCTTGAGTTGGTGTCCTTATGTAAAGAATGACTATGTAAAAGACAATATTGAAATGAATGTCGTGAACGAGTATAATTGTTAATTGCTTTTATATCATTGAAATAGGTTGTGATTTTGTGAGGGCCTACGGTTGTGCCCTTTGAATACTGAGAGTACATTGGTGTATGATGCAGATAAAGGTAAGTTTCGTATTCTCAGGGTTAATCTCTTGTTTGTTTCACCAAACTCCATGGGAGGTTAGTTTATATGCATGGTATGTTTTTGGAAATTTAAATATTGTTAAATGTCTTCGTATGTATATGTATATATGGGGCAATGTGCAGCAACACCTGGATGAGGTTCCTGAGTGTGTTGATTTCATACAAGTGGTAGAACTCCGGTAGTGTGGGTATAGAGTGGATCCTTATACTTTGTGTGTAGGTTATAGATGTGTGTAATGCCTACTTTTTTTTCTCTGGCCAGTAGATGTGTGATTAACGCACCTGCATGATATGCATATGTTGATGACATTATGTTATTTTATATTGTTCATACTCATTATACATGTAAGTGAACTTGGGACGGAGTGATCCTTCGAGAATCCAAGTTTACTGAGATTGTTATCTCACCATGTGTTTGGGGACCACATTTCAGGTACTATGAGTATTGATGTTGGAGTACCTTAAGGCAAGAGGCCGGAGTTGATTTGTTAGCATGATATGCATCCATTATGACTATGAGATATATTATTGTTGAGGCATGCTTATATTGACAGTATTGATTATGATCATTTGATGTGAGCATGTGGGTTGTCTATGCCTTCTTGATCAAGCATGTTGTTTTAATTAGAGAACATGTATAAGTTATGCTATTGAGTATTTGCACTTAGTCATGCAACGATATGATTAATCATGTTAGTTATTAATTTGTAATATCATTTGTATGTGAGATTGCCTAAGTAAAGGATTCCTAGGCGTCAGGATGTATGCATGTATCACTTAATCAAATCCCTTTAGATATGATGATTTAGGTGCCAATGAAGATACTAGATAGCTTAATTAAACGAAAAATATAATCGACACTTATTGTATGTTTTAGGTAAGGATAACTAAGTACAAGATGAAGTGATATGGGGTGGGGGTTGAATGCTAAACCCTCAACCTGCAGTAATATATTCCATTTTGCCACTGTCATATAATATCTAGATATTGGTGATCTAATATCTGGATATTGATATCTGGTTATGGTATATCCGAATATGTCCCTGACATGTATCCGGATATTCTGGGCAAACAAAAGTAAAAATAAAAATTTAAAAGGAAAT